TTTTAGTTGTCCAGATAATTTCTTTCTATTTTTAGTAGAGACGGGGTCTCGCTCTTGCTCAGCCTGGTCTCAAACTCCTGACCTTGAGCGATCCACCTGCCTCAGCCTCCTAGAGTGCTAGGATTACAGGCGTGAGCCACCACGCCCGGCCTACTTGTGGCTCTTAATACAAGGAGCAGTCTCCTAAATGGCAGAATTTGGAGTAATACTCCAATCTCTTTGGTACTCATGTTATCTCCTTTGCTTGCCATGTTAAAAATGGAAGAAAAAAAACAAAACTCTAAGGCTTCAAAACAAACTGGCAAGGTCTGAGTTTGTCCCCACCAAAACTCATGTTGAAATGTGATCTCAACCCCAATGTCGCAGTGTTGGAAGGTGGGACTTAGTGGGAAGTGTTTGGGTCATGCCAACAGTTACAGATACCTCATGAGTGGTTTGGTGCTGTTCTCATGGTTATGAGTAAGTTCTCATTCTCACAAGATTGGATTAGTTTTCCTGGGGATATTCCCCTGAGAGTGGGTTGTTATAAAGCCAGAATGCTCCTTACAATTTTGCTCCTTTGCAAGTGTCTGCTTCCTTTTTGACCTTTTCTGCCATGTTATAACACAACATGAAAGCCCTCTCCAGAACCTAGGGCCATGCCTTTGAACTTCCCAGTCTGCAGAACCATGAGCTATAAGAAATAAACCTCTTTTCTTTATAAATTACCCAGTCTCAGGTATTCTGTTACAGAAACACAAAATGGACTAAGACAGCAGTTCCCAACCTTTTTGGCACCAGGGACTGTTTTCATGGAAGACAATTTTTCCATGGGGGATGGGGGGTGGTGATGCCAGCCATGGGGAGCTGCTGTAAATATGTAAATACAGATGAAGATGAAGCCAGCTGCTCACCTCCTGCTGTGCAGTCCCCTATTCCTAAGTTTCATGGAAGATCATTTTTCCACAGACAGGGGTTGGGGTGGGGGAGGTAGAGCTCAGGCATGATGTGCAGCCCAGTTCCTAATAGACCACAGACCGGTCAGGCCACAGCCCAGGGATTGGGGACCCCAGGGCTAAGACACAAATGTTTAGTTTTGTTGATTGGAAAAATGACATAGAAAAAATATTCAGTAAGCCAGAGAAGAAATAATTCTTTCCACATATATCATATGATGATACCTTTTTGTTTTTTTGTTTTTTTTTCTTCAATTTCTAACATGGCAGGCAAAGGAGATGACATGAGTACCAATGTGAATATACAATTATACAATATAAAATTATATAATAACACAATGTGCAATTTATGCCTGCTTACTTATTGAGGTTTTCAGTAAGAAAATTGTCTTCCATTTGTTCTTCTTTGTGGTCTTCAGTAAGCTTGCTTGGTGTGTTCTGTAGTTGCTAAGGATAAGAAATTCAATGTTAAGTAGATGGAAAAAAAATCTGTTTCTCTCTGCAAACAAAATGAGAATAAAAATTCTAAAGAACAATATAAAATAGGAATAGTTTTGAACTAGAGAGTGAGAGATGTGGGAAATGTATGCTAATGTATTTGAACTGAATCTCATGTACTTATATCCTGGTTGCCTGTGGGAACCTCACACACTGTGATGTGGGCTAGGCACAGGTTGGTTTAACAACTTTGTGACAGGCCTTCAGACTTAAACTATGTTACTAGCCCGCATTGCAATGCCCTAAATACAGTTAAATTTTCAACTTCAATTCTGAGCAGAAATTGGATATAAAATTTGCCCAGGAGGAGGAGCCAAGATGGTAGACCAGAAAAGCTGCCAGTCATAGTGTCTCTGCAAAAAAGACAGATTTTAGAAGAAAGTGAAAAAAATAAACTAGCAGAAAAACATAGATCGGGTGAGAGTGGGAAGGAAGGGTGCCTGAAACTACAGGAGACTCCACGGGAAGACATTGCGGAGGAGAACTGGAAGGAGAAAGGTCCCCGAGAGGCTTGGAGACCAGCGACAAGGGTAGGTGGAACAATAACTTTCCCCTCCCTTGCATCTTGGACTGTTGGTGGGCTCCTGAGCGGCTGGAGAGACCTGCCAACACCAGCCCAGAGATGGCTGTCACCAGTGAGCGGTGGCCTCTTGCGGACAGGGCACCAGGCTCCTAGCTCCCTTGGGGCACCTCCCAGCATGCAGACCTGAGCCTATTGGCAGATGCCATATTGCTCCATTCTCTCCTTCCCCTTCCCCTTCCCTACCCGTGGGTGCCCAGAGAGACAATTTAGCCATAGCACGGAGGCATCTCCAAGGAATGGGACCTTTCCTTTTGGGGCCCTATAGCAGACTGAGGGGTACTCAGACTGCGAGCTCCCTGCCTGCCAGCCCTCCCAGGTGCTGCTTGCCTGGGGACTCCAGGAGAGCGGGGCAAATCCCGCAGTGGAGTAAAATTGATCTAGC